AAATTCAGGACCATTTCCCCGAGACCCACTCCAAGCTTTGATTCTGCCACTGGTTCATTCTTCCCAATTCCTCTATTACATTTTGTTGTTTTGTTGGGATGTACTATCCTGCTGATTTGTCAAGGCCATTTGCAGCCATAAACTTCTGGGTCTGTCACTGACTCTCAATGTAAGTTACCTCATAGGGTTGTTGTGAGGATAAAATGGTAGAGAAAGAAAAGGTGCCATAGGTTCTTTGCAGGAAAAAGAGCAGGATATAAATGAAAAGATCCAAAAATGGAAAGATTTATTCTATTCACATAATGCTTTCAGTTCAGACAATTTAACAGCAGAAAAGCACAATTTTCCTTCCTTATATAAACATCTTCGTCCTTATATGCCCTCACGCCCCTTAAGATCTGCAGGAGAGGCCCTGCTCTGAGAACCCTCCCTGAAGGCGGTAAAAGGGATATCTACTCGGAGGAGGGCCTCTGCAGTAGCGCCCAGATTATGGAATGCGCTCTCCGGAGAGGTGTGCCTGGCGCCGAGTTTATATTCTTTTCGGCACCAGGTTAAAACCTTTTTATTTAACTGTTCTTTTAAAAACTAATTTAAAATTTTAATGTTTAACAGTCACTTTTATTTAACTTATTTAATTGTATTTTTCTGGTTAATTGTTATTTATTACTGTTTTATTGTGTTGTTTTAATGATTGTAAGCCATTCCAAGATGCCATGCATAAGGGACAGCATACAAATGTTTTAAATAAATAAATAAATAAATAAATATTTTAAACCAGTTTCAGGCCATTGCTGTAGCTCTACCACCTCCTTTCTCCTTCCATAGGATTCCTCATCCTCTGGAGCAGATTTTCAGGATTTTCTAGGGGAATGGAGAATTGGTGAATATTGGTAATTCCAGTGGTAGTATCTCCCACCATATTGACTGTCATAGTCCTAAGATAACCTGGAAGCCAATAGAGATGGGGTCTTTACAGTATGACATCCACTGTTCTCAAAAAATGTGCGCCTTGTCTCCTCAGATACTGTATTTAAAAAGGCTTTGAAACACCATCTGTTTTGTTTGGCCTTTAATGGATTATCATCATTATTTATTATGCTGGTGTATCATTGATAATTTATTGCTGTGGATCTGGAGATGGTTTTTATATAGAATGGATTAAAACTTTCATGTTAAATATTAATGCTATATTGTTTATATTATGCTTGTAATGTTGCTTGAGTGGCTTAGAAATAAATAAATGACAGTTAATTGTATTGCATATATGCATTCAAGATTCTGAGCGTGCTATATTTGTTTCTATACTTAATTGGGGTTGCAGAGGGACCTACCTTAGTGTTTGTTTATTTTTATTACACATTTTTATTAAAATATTTATATTATTTATTTATTTATTTCTATTTAAACATTTCTATGCCGCCCCATCGCAATAAAGCCTCAGGGCAGCTCACAAAACATAAATAACAATACAATAAAACCCCAGTAAAATAAAACCCCAGTGCATTCTCGGCTAAAAAAAAAAAAAACCTAGTTAAATAAATAAATTAACAATTAAAATAAGTTTTAAATAAAAAGATCTTAGCCTGGCACCGAAAAACAAATAATGACGGCACCAGGCAGACCTCTCTGGGGAGCGCATTCCATAGATGGGGCACCACCACAGAGAAAGCCCTCCTCCGGGTACTCACCCTCCTGATGTCATTCACAGATGGTTCCCGGAGAAGGGCATCTGCTGCTGACCTCAAGGGGCGGGAGGGCATATATGGGAGCAGGCGTTCCTTTAGGTATCCAGGTCCCAAGCCGTTTAGGGCTTTATAGGTCATAACCAACACCTTGAATCGGGCCCGGACTTCAATCGAGAGCTAGTGGAGCTGATGGAGAACTGGGGTTATATGAGAACAACGCCCAATCCCCGTCAGCAACCTGGCAGCTCTATTCTGCACCAATTGAAGTATCCGGACTGTCTTCAAGGGTAGCCCCACGTAGAGCACATTACAGAAATCTAATCGGGAAGTTACCAGCGCGTGTGTCACTGTTGCCAGGCAGTCATTCTCTAGGAAGGGACGCAGCTGATGGATCAGCCAAAGCTGAAGGAAGGCGCTCCTCGCCACCGCCGTCACCTGGGCTTCCAGAGGCAGCTCAGGGTCGAGGAGCACTCCCAAGCTGCGAACTCTATCCCTCAGAGGGAGTGCAACCCCATTTAGGACAAGGCCCAAGTCCTCCATCCCAAGGTCCGAACTGCCCACCAACAGGACCTCCGTCTTGTCTGGATTGAGCTTCAGTTTATTGGCCCTCATCCAGCCCATTACCTCAGCCAGGCACCGGTTCAGCACAGCCACTGCCTCACCTGGATTGGTGGAGAATGAGAGATAGAGCTGGGTATCATCAGTGTACTGATGATTCTGCAGCCCACACCTCCTGGTGATCTCTCCCAGCGGTTTCATGTAGATGTTAAAAAGCAAAGGGGACAAAATGGACCCCTGCGGAACTCCATGGCATAACTGCCATGGCGCAGAGCCATAGTCCCCCAGCACCACCTTCTGAAATTGGCCATTGAGATAGGAGCGGAACCACCACCACGTGATGCCTCCAACCTCCCAATCCCACTAGCCTAGGATACCATGGTTGATGGTATCGAAAGCCGCTGAGAGGTCCAGGAGAACTAACAGGGACGCACTCCCCCTGTCTCTCTCCCTGCACAGGTCATCGTACATCGTATATGCTGCCTATTCCACCAACGGCATCCCTAGGCAGCTCACAATACCAAATTAACAAGATCCAACAAGTCACAATATTAAAATCTCAGCAACAAAACTTTAAAACAGCAATAACCCAATCCATCTATAAATTAGTACAAATATAAAATCCCAGTAAATTAATTTCCCCAATAGGTCATAGTGGCATCCATGGGAGAAATCAAATATTAAAATATATTTTGAAGAAATCAGTTTTTGCCTGGCACCAAAAAGATTGCAAAGATGGCACCAAGCAAATCTCTTTAGGGAGAGCATGCCAAATATTTATTTATTTAAAACTTTTGTATACCGTCCCATCACTGATGTCTTGGAACGGTTTGCGATAACAGCAATAAAATAAGATAAAAAATAAAATATGAGGAACATAGCAGAGAAGGCCCTCTTTTTGTTAGCTACCCCCTTTTACTTCCCTGATGGAAGGCTCTTGCAAAAGGGCTCTCTGCATTGATCTCGGAAGGCAGGTAGGCCTATACAGGTGCAGATGCTCCTTTAGATGAGTGGTTTTCAGCCACCGTTCTGCAGATTTCCTGCTGGTCTGCAAAAAAGCCTTGATGAGCAAGCCTTGGGGGTGGCAGTTACAGTGCCCTGTGGAGCCAAGCGTCGTGGAGAAGCTGCATAGGGGCAGTTCCAATAGCAGGCTGCGTTGGCACGCCAGAATGCCTGGAAGATGGTTGCACCACTCGCCTTGTCAAGCAGCACAAGACCAGAGCCAGGCTGGTTGGGGCCACTTGCATGGTGCGCTGAGGGAGCAGGAATGACAGCTGCTTCTTGAGCTGCAGGTGCTATTCCTGCTTGCTCGGTGCAACTGTCATCAGCAGGGGAACCAAGCTGATTGTAGCAGGAGGTGGGAAAATGCTCCTGGGGACAAGGGACACACAAGGGACAAAGCCATTCAGAGAATTACCATTTGTCACCAAGGAGCTGCAGAGGGGTGGCTGGGCCATTCAGAGCTGCATATAAGGGGAGCAACTCCTGCTCAGCCTGTTTTTCAGCTTGCTCAGCGCTGCGGCCATCACCAGGGGAACAGAGCTGATCCTAACAGGAGGCGGGAACAAACTCTGATGTCAGTCTGGTGTCCAAACATAAAATGCAGTCGTCACAAGTTTGGGTATCACTAGAAAATGAATATCTGTCTTTAAGTTATAGAGCCATGAAATTGTTACTCATATTTTCTACCACATATTTATGTGAAAAGATGTTTTTTAGCCCTTTCACTGATAAAAATCAAACAAAAACAGAATGGAAGTCAGTGAAACACTTAGTCTCTTGGAAACAACACTGCAGCCACAACCATCATGTATTCGTGAAAAGAAACAACAGCAGGTTTCACATTAGCCTTATTTGAATAAAATATTGCTCTCTAAAATTGTCACTTGTATTTATTACTGCTCAGTTTCTGGTTATTTTAGAGAATTATATTTTTGGTATATTTTAAAAATAATACACAAAATTCATTATATACACATATTATGTATATAATGCTTTCTATTTCTGCCTAAGTGGTCCCTGAAAAATGTTTTCTTATTTTTGTCAGTTCCCAGATGTAAAAAGGTTAAAAACCACTGCTTTAGATAACCATATATATGCCAAAACAAGTACCTTGAGTTGGGTCTGGGCCACAATTGGTAACCAGTGTAATAGTACAAGTGTTATATGGGCCATTGTAGGTGTACCAGTCACCAACAGGGTGGCCCAACTCTGTACCAATTGTAATTGATGGATCATCTTCAAAGGCAGCCAAACGCAGAGTGCATTACAATACTATATTGTAGATGTTACATATACACGTGAAACCATTTTCAGGCTCTGCCTGTCCAGGTAGGAACAAAGTTGATAGATTTTATTTATTATTTATTAGGATTTTTATCCCGTCCAGTACGGTTCATCTCTGGATCTGCAGCAGCTGGAGAAAGGCACTCCTGGACACTGAATTTACCTGACATTCCAGAGACAAACCTGGGTCCAGGAGCACCCCTAGATTGCAAACCCTATGTTCTTGTGTTCTTCTGATCAGTTTTTTTCCTTGCTTACTGTGTTTTAAAAGGCTCTGTTAAGTTTTGTCCTCCTTCCAGTCTTCCCTGTTGTAGCTAGTCTTTTTTTGGAGCAGGGGATATTGTATCAAACTGTTGGATATTTAGTTAGGATATTTGAAGTTTTTCTTATGAGAATTGAATAAATGTAACCTGCTGTGTAATTCTTTTTGCGTCTTAGATATTTCAAGGACAAACAGCAAAAGTGATAGTAATGGAGGAGGAATTTACAGAATACCTTGTCTCAGCTTCTGAAGAACTGCTACTTGAATATGGACAAACTGCTGATCCAAATGATGCAAAGCTGCAGCAAGATCTTACTATGGTTAGGTTGCATGCACAGTATTTAAGTGATATACGAAACATGCAGTATTGTCTTTCACTTAAAATATGTGATCTGTCTGGTAATTTCCTTACAAATATTGATGCGCTTGAATGTTGCACTAGCTTAATTAAACTGGATCTCCATAGCAACCAGGTGAGCAACATAAGCTTTAAAAGAGAACCATAATAAAATGTTATTTGGTGAAATAAACTATAGGGCTTTTCCAGGAAGACTGTTGATTCAAGCTACAGTATTCGTACTGCAAGTGCTTGTATTATTTAGTGTTTTGGTACTAACAATGTGTGTGTTGCAGTTAGAAATGGGTAACACAGCAGCTAACAGTTATTACTGCAATAGAAATGGAGTCTTTCCAGTATAGTTAACAAGTTATTTTGAGATTTATATAGGTATAAAATTAGCTGACTGAAGAACTGTAAGCTGAAATATTTTCCCTCTAAGTAATACCTTGGAATTTTGTTATTGTTGCCCACCACTGGTAATTTTTTCATGGTAGCTGAAAAAAAAATCTATTTGCATTTCTTTACATTCCCCTTCTTTCTTACCTTGCTATATTTTTCATTTTCCTAGCATGTTTCTGTGTAAACTGGAATTGTACTTTTTATGTTTAAACATTTAATTGGGATTCTCACATTTACTGATCCAAAGGATGCTGTGCTTCTCTATTCCTCCAACTGGAGTGAATGGGGAATCCTAGTCATAGAGCTCCAGACTTGGGATATAGTCTTTGATATGTGTTTTACAGCCAGAATGGAACAGAAGTTTCTTATGTCAATTTCTATCTTTGATATTGCTTTTGTTTTAAGACTGTTTAGCTTGTAAAGAAGAATGCTCTGTCAAAACAAATTTTGCAGCTTTAAATTCATGCAGTTCCTTGAAGTGAATTTAGATGTGTTACAATGACATTCAGAAGAATGAATTGCATTAAAAATGTCTTAGATGTAATAGGCAACACCTTACATGTAAATAGGCTGTACTGTATTATTCCAGGCATTTTTATGTTTCATAACTTTTATTTTCACCCAGTAATATGTACACTGTGTTATATGAATGAGCACAAAGTCTTACCTACTGTGCAGTTCTTTCTGCTGCATGAAATACTGCTGAAGGGCATTCTACTACTTTCAGAAAGAGCTCTTTGGATAGCTCAGTGTATTTCCAAAATCCCAAATTCTCAAAGAAGTCCCTGGTGTACATGTAGCTGCTGGTGCCTATTTGCAAGTTCTCGTAATTGCAAGCCTTTGAAATTCTCCCATGTAGTCTTATACAGGATTGCTACATTTATTAAATAGGCTTTATATTGTTGTTATTGTTATTATGTATTCATTTTGAATTATTTTGTTGAATTTCACACTTTACTTATACTTCCTTACTCTAAATATTCACTGAAATATTTTATGTCACATACATTTATATAAATAATATATAGATGAGTGTATTGTCTAGGTTTTTTCCTCTTTTTTGGTTTGAAGAGGTAACTTTAATTAGTTCTGAGTTATAGGTGTGGACCACATTGAATGTTTGCATTGTGTAAAGGGTTACGTACAATGCTTTAAAAATAATATTAAATAATTATTGCATATTAAATAAATTCCTCTCATGTGTTTCAATACTATTTCAGCTAGAAGAGCTTCCGGACCCAATGTTTTGGGGAAGCATGCTAAATCTAAATCTACTGTATCTTCATGATAATGGAATTTCAACACTGGAAAATGTGCATTCATTATCTTTCTGTCCTAAACTGATTGCACTCACCTTGTTTAATACTCCACTGTGCCTGAAAATAGCCTATAGGCATATTGTTGTTAACAGTATCTTTTCACTTAAGGCACTGGACTATTATGTAATTTCTGATGAGGAAATAATTGAAGACTGGAGGCTTCCTGAAAAATATAAACCATTTACTCTTAACTTTTTTGTTGACTTTTGCCCTCTTTCTGGAAAGGTAAGCAAATTCAATAATTTAGTTTTATGAAGACTGCCTTCATAGGAATATTAAGCTAAAATATGCTGTAATATTCTATGGCTCTTAGCTGTGATCTTGCCAGTACATTGTTTACATTCAGATTTTAGCATCTGTATCTGTTCTGTCTTTTGAGGGTGGGGGGCATGTATTTTGTGAACTACTGATAATTTACTTTCCTTAGAAGAAAACAGGAACCCTCTGTGCAGGTATTCATTAATTGTGACAATTATATAAATACATGGCTTAGAAGTGCAATTACTGCTCATCAAACACCCTCCCCCTCCAAAAAAAAATAAAAAATAAAAGAAAGAAAAGAATGCTTTCAATAGAATGTGAAGCATTTATCTTGTTTTGATTTTTTTAAGTGTTTAGAGCTAGATAAAGGAAATAAGTTTTAAAGGTGGTAGGATTAGAATTCTATATCTGTGTTAAATTTCATAATTATAATTCTTTTTTTATAAAGATTTTTATTAAGATTTTAAACTAAAAACATCAATCATCAAATACATTGGACGTGCTGAGTCAGCCCCCTACAGCGTATCTTTTTAACATTCTGTAATCATATTCAAATTGATTTATAAAAATTTAAAAACATCTTTAAATCTAAGCCAAGTCCCGTTTCTCCAGCCAGTCATAAAAAAGGTCCCAAGTTTGATAGAATTCAGTATCTTCTTTCTCCTTCAGTGATAGAGTCAATCTGTCCATTTCTGCACAGTCCAGAAACTTTTTAAAAATCATTTCCACAGTGGGTAATTCCTCACTCTTCCAGTATTGAGCAAGCGCAATCCTTGCCGTTGTGATTAAATGTAACACCAAATACATCATAATTATAATTCCTTGGTAATGTGAAATGTTCTAAATGGAACAATTATTTCATTCCATTTATTTCATATATTTTGACCTCTTCACTGTATATAAATGAAATCTGCTTAGAGTGATGTTCTTTGCATTTTGAATCTTGTCTCTAGATAAGTGTTCTCCCTATATTCTAAGCAGGAGCCACCAGGGCTCCAGGAAATATCACAAGAGTGTGAGCCTTTCAGCAGGGGAGACAACTCACCTCTCTCCCTGTGCCAAGCAACAATACTGCACTGGACTTGGCTGGAGGCCTTTTGGGACCTCACTTATTAATCCCTTTGCATGTTGTCCAAAGAGGTCTTCATTGTTCATTCACCAAACTGACAAATTCCAACAGGCTCGCTTGGTTCTTGGGGTGGGATGCATATTTTTCTCTTCACTGAAAGAATGCTCTGTTTTCTCAGTGCTAAAGCATCTCCTAGAGCATTGTGTCTCTCTTGCATGGAAGTTTCCCTTCCCTCTCCACTGGCTCTGCATTGTACTGCTACAGCTAGCCAATTACTTTACTCTTCAGTTCTTGTGCTCTCCTATCCACAACCGATTGCTCCCTCATTCTCCTTTTCTCCCCTGCTGCCTGCCACCTTACAGCTGTTCTCCTGACTCCCCAACCCCAAAGCTGCCTCGGCCAGCCCAAATCATAGGAGCCAGGGTATCATTAAAGTAAACAAAAAGGAAAGCTAGAGAGCCTCTGCTGAGAGTGAGCAGCTACTGCAGATAGAGGCAAACAGAGTGTGTATGAAAGTAAAAAAGACCTTCCCTTGAGGTGTTTGGGAGCCAGTGGTGGTCTTGCAGTAAAGAACAATGATCTGGACCATGTTAAACAACCCAGAGTAGAGTAAATCAAATCTAGGTATTTATAACTGAGTAGAAAAGGTAAAGTTTAAATTACCCCTTAGAAACATCTTCTTCATATGTTTTAGTTTACAGCTCCCACCATCCCTTACAATTCCAGTCAAATACAACTGGAATTACCTAGGTGGGGAAGGCTTTCATAGATATCGTTATAACCCTCACCTCAAGTTTCACAATGTAGCTCTATAATGTCTATTCCAAATTAAGCCCCACTGAATGGAATGGGATGTATTCCCAGCTAAGTATAAAATACCAGTTGTGCTATTTAATCAAGTGGCAGATCTTTCACCATTACCAAAACCCTGCTGGCTTGCTTTAGCCAGAGAGAGAAATATTTCAGCTCCAGGCTGGTGTGAATATATACATGGAATGCTTCTCATAAATCAAGAACTGCAGATGTTTCAGGGCCTACTACAGGCAGAAAAACTGTATAATTGGAACCTCTAGGTTGTTGCATGCTGCTTGAAGGAGCTCTCTGCACCTTCTAGAACCTGTGACTGGAAACTCTGCCTGTCATCTTGCTCCTGCCTCTGCTTCTGGACCTTGCCCAGGTTCCAGTCTTCACTTGCTCCATCTTCTGCTCCAATCTCAGGTACCAGCTTCTCCTTGGCTTGTCACTCTGGCTTTCAAGTCCTGACCGCCTTTGCCTACTCTTCACTATTCAAACTGACTTACCTTGACTGCAATTTGGAATAGGCCCTCGTAGGGTACTGGTTGTCTGGGTCCTGGTGCCCTGATCCGATACCCAGCTGCCTACACACCAGACTGGGACAGTTTGCCGAGGCTGTGTGCACCCTGACCCAGGGCATCATGAGCACTGATGTGCTTCAAGCCCTGCATGCCCAGGTACTGATGCTGCAAACTGAACTTACTGCACTCCACAATGCCACCTCAGCTGCTGCACTCCACTGGGTCCCTGCGCCCCCCTTGCTAGCCCATTTTTCCAGCAATCACCAGGCCTTGTGGAGGTTGGTTAATCAATGTCAGCTACTGTTCCAGCTATGCCCAGAGGCCTACCCTACTGAGTGCAGCCGGGTAGTGCTGATGCTTAACCTCTTGTCAGGTCTGGCATTGATTTGGGTGTCAACCTTCCAAGAGACTTACCACCCTATCCTGGTGCCCTGATCTGATACCTAGCTGCCCACACCCCAGACCTTAACCGTTAGTGCCACCATCATTCTGTCTCATTCCACGGATTGTCTGCAGTGAGGCAGTGGAACTTGGCAGCATACTCCGTGATGGGAGTTCCACCTCTGCTTTAGGGCCTGGAGAGCTTGTTCCACTGATTGGCGTCTCTGAACATTTTTATCAAGGCCCACAGGAAAGCATTTAGATTTCCCAGGATAGGGTGGTAAGTACACCAGGAAGGCACCAGGACCCTGACAACCAGGACCCTACGAGGGCCTATTCCAAATTGCAGTCAAGCAGTCCAGAGATCAAGGCTGGTAACAGAAGTACAAGGTAAGTCAGTTCAAATAGTGAAGAGTAGCCAAAGCCAGTCAGGAGTCGAAAGCCAGAGAGACAAGCCAAGGAGAAGCTGGTACCTGGGACTGGAGTGGAAGGTGGAGCAGGTGAAGACCGGGAAGCCAGGCAAGGTCCAGAAGCAGAGGCAGGAGCAAGGTGACAGGCAGAGTTCCCAGAAATGAGTTCTAGAAGGTGCACCGAGCTCCAACAATGTGAAGAACTTTCATTGTTGAGGCAGCATCTGGAAGGATGCTCACTGGGTCCTCTTAGATAACACATTTACCTATTGAGGTTCTGTTGAAGATAGCATTTCTGCCCAGTTTGCCATCCTTGTACCTTTTAGCAGCATCAACTTGACAATGAGGATCATATTCCTTTCACCATTCCACTTTCCTGGTAACTGCTAATGAAGGCAGGAATACCTTTATTATAATGATTATTCTGACTGATAGAAGAACTGCTGAATGTTAAAGAAATACTATGGCAAGCTCACCATAGGAGGATCCTCTTAATGTATGTTCCTATGGTAAGTGAATAACTAGAGTTCCTTTATGAAATCTAGGAGGCTCAAATAACTGCAAGCTCTTACAAAATGATGCCAAGGTCCTATATTTACTAAAACCAACAGAGCAATCTTTGACCAAGATCAAAGAACAGAATCATAGAACAGTAGATTAAGAAGGGCCCTATAAGGCCTTCAAATTCAACTCCCCGTTCAATGCAGGATTCCAAGTCAAAGCATTTCTGACAGGTGGCTGTCCAACTGCCTCTTGAATGCCTCCAGTGTGGGAGAGCCCATGACCTCTGACAGTAATTGGTTCCATTGCCAGAGTGCTCTGACTGTAGCACAGCTATGCTTCTATGCTGATTTGATTGCAATTACTATTGTGGTTTTGTTGTTTGTCTCTGTGTTTTTGGTTTTTTAAACATTTGTTAATTGTCCAGAGAGCCTTGGCTATTGAATGATATAAAAATGAATGAATATATATATATATATATATATATATATATATATCCCAATGTCTAGCCAGAATCTGGCTTCCTGTAACTTAAGGCCATTATTCTGTGTCCTACACTTTGGGATGACTGAGAAGAAATGCTAGTCTGTGTGCGACAGCATTTCAAGTATTTGAAAAGTGCTTTCATATTTTCTGTTCTCAAGGCTAAACATGACTGAGCCCAATATTGTTTTCAAACATGCCTTAGAAAAATGCAAGTTTTTAAAGCACTATCTATTATAATACATATTTATAAAATATTCCCATTTTTATCATAGGGAACTACTTTTCAGGAAGAAATGAAAACAGTAAGAGATATAATTTCTAAGATCAATTATGTTCTAGCTCATCATTCACCAGTCCTGATTATTCAGAAATGGATAAGGGGATATTTAATTAGAAAAATACTGTGGTAAGTGTATTTTTACTTAATTTTGATCAGGAGATATTTTCATGCAGAGCAAAGTATCCAATGTAAGTTGCCTTGTCAAACAACTTATTAAACACATATAAATATGTCTGTAATGCAGCAAAGTGTGTTCCAGCTTTCTTAAAATTAAAGTTTGAATGTTTTATGTTGGAGCAATTTGATTTAGAATGTATATAAGGGAGGCAGTTCAGCAGTTTTTACTAGAATGACTCACAACTGAACAGTTAAATTGGATATTCTTTCTATTCAGCATTTTTGCTGTCATGTACTATTTCAGGATTGTACAAAAAAAATCTGTAATCCACTTCCAATTAATTGTTTCTGGCACAAAAAAACCCTGATTTTAATAGTTATGTACTGTATCCAGCATATCCACCAAATACCAGTGGCTGCCACTCTGATTTTAAACTTTTGCACCAGCATTTTTATTGGAATATGAATACATACTGGTGCAAGATCAGAGTCTGCATCTCTGCTGGAAAGGTGTACAAAAGCTATTCAAAGTCCCTAATGGAATAACATACTTGGCTTCGAGATCAAAGTAAGATCAGTTACTTTATAAAATGATCTGTACTACATGTGGTAAAGAGTAATTGTCTGTAAATATTTGTTTCAATGTATTTTAATGTCCAATATGTGTATATTTTGTTTTTTGAAAAGGTTAATAATGCAACACCACAAGACAATTTTGGAAGTGGAGTACTTGGATAACAAATAATTATAGATGTTAAGTATAGATAAGCTAAATTGAACACTATGATAAGCATCACTATTTCACTGAAAACAAATAATTATACTTGGCCTGCATGGCTCCAACCTGTCAATTTTATGAATTCATAACCATGAAGAAAAAAAAAACTCTTGGCAAATAGCAGTATGATTGTTAGTATTTTTATTAATGTATTTTTAGGCATGTGGGAAAGAATGCTTGCATACCACAATGATAATTTCAAATTTTCCCAGGACTGGGTCTTGGGCATCAACAAGAGAGCAAGTATAGCAAAGTGGCAATTAGTTCTTCATTCAAAACTTGCTTCTGCCATTAATTCACTACTGACCTTATGTGGGACATGATTACATGTGGCACGATTTGGAAATGGAAATGAAATGAAACATTTCCCAGTATACTATTTTTTATTATTATTATTATTATTATTATTATTATTATTATTATTATTATAACATTTCTATGCCGCCCCTTGCCGAAGCCTCGGGGCGGCTTACAACACAATAAGATACATTGAAATACAATAGAACATAATAAATTACCACTAAATACAAAAATACAAAAAATACACTAAGATACAATAATATAAAATTAAAATTAACAGTATAAAATAAGTAAATAAAGAATATAGGAGGAGAAAAGAGAAGGAAGAAGAAGTTGCCCTGGCCAGATCATATATTTTAACAATTAAAATGATGTTTAAATAAAAAGGTCTTTATCTGGCGCCGAAAAACCAGTAACGACGGTGCCAGGCGGACCTCTTTGGGGAGTGAATTCCATAGGTTGGGTGCCACCGCAGAGGAAGCCCTCCTCCGAGTACTTACTCTCCTAATTTCTTTCATGGAGGGTTCCCGGAGAAGGGACTCTCCCGCAGATCTCAAGGGGCGGTCGGGCATATACGGACGTAAGCGCTCGTTCAGGTAGCCAGGACCCAAGCCGTTTAGGGCTTTTTAGGTCATAACCAACACCTTGAATTGGGCCCGGGCTTCAATGGGAAGCCAGTGAAGCTGACGGAGGACTGGAGTCATGTGAGCATAACGCCCCGTCCCCGTCAGCAACCTGGCAGCTCTATTTTGCACCAATTGAAGTGTTCGGATCGTCTTCAGGGGAAGCCCCACATAAAGCGCGTTATATAAGTCTAGGCGGGAAGTCACCAGCGCGTGTGTCACCGTCGCCAGGCAGTCGTACTCCAGGTAGGGGCACAGCTGATTAATCAGCTGAAGCTGAAGGAAGGTGCTCCTCGCCATCGCTGTCACCTGAGCTTCCAAAGAAAGCTCCAGGTCGAGGAGTACTCCTAAGCTGCGGACCTTGTCCCTAAGAGGGAGTGTTGCACCATTCAGGACCAGGTCAAATCCACCCTCTCCGAAGCCCGATCCGCCAACCAACAGGACCTCCGTCTTGTCTGGACTGAATTTCAGTTTATTGGCCCTCATCCATTCCATTACCTCGGCCAAGCACCGGTTCAGCACAGCCACTGCCTCACCTGGATTAGTGGAAAACGAGAGGTAGAGCTGGGTATCATCAGCGTATTGATGATTCCGCAGCCCACACCTCCTGATGACCTCTCCCAGCGGTTTCATATAGATGTTAAATAGCAAAGGGGATAGAATGGAGCCCTGTGGTACTTCATGGCATAGCTGCCATGGCGCAGAGACATAGTCCCCCAGCACTACCTTCTGGAATTGACCATTGAGATAGGAGCGGAACCACTGCAAAGCAGTGCCTCCAACCCCCAATCCCGCTAGCCTATCCAGAAGGATATCATGGTCGATGGTATCGAAAGCCGCCGAGAGGTCCAGAAGAACCAACAGGGATGCACTCCCCCTGTCCTTCTCCCTGCACAGGTCATCGTACAGGGTGACCAAGGCAGATTCAGTACTGTACCCGGGTCTGAAGCCGGACTGAAAAGGATCCAGATAATCAGTTTCATCCAAGAGTGCTTGGAGTTGTCCCGCCACCACTCGCTCCAACACCTTGCCCAGAAACAGGATGTTGGCTACAGGTCTATAGTTAGTGGCCATCTCTGGATCCAGTGATGCTTTCTTCAGGACCGGTCATATTACCGCCTCCTTTAAAGGGGCAGGCACTTGACCCTCCCTCAGAGAAGCGTTAACCACTTCCAAGATCCAGGTCCCAATCCCATACTTGGGCAAGGTACAGGCAAGGATCCAATAGGCAAGTGGTGGGACGTACTTGTGCAAGCACCTTGTCCACATCATCGGGCCACAATAATTGAAATTCCTCCAATAAAAAATTTGTTTTGTAAGTTCATAGTAAAAATGAATCTATGCCAATTGTGAATACAGTATTTGGAAAATGTGGCAGTTTTGGAATTGTAGTTAATAATTTTTCAGAGGATTAATGTTAGCAAGTATGTGAAAGAAAGCATGCTGAAATACCCAGTGAAATAGAATCAATACATAGTCCTAGCAAACCAAAACAGTGCCCCAACAACCTTAGAAGAAGAAAGTTGAACTGTCTTAAAATAAATGAGTGATTGTCAGCATATCACATTCAGTTTTTTGGCTCACTAAAGTTAATTACTGTGTCAACAATTTTAGTACCTTTTTGACTTTTTTTTCCTCCTTAAATTTGAACAATGTGAGGGACATGGTTAGGGTTAGTGCTGTCTTTACATTTTACAAAAAAATAAGTATTCCAATAAAATATCTACACAATCTAACACTGAAATCACATTATGGGTGGAATCTTAGTGCCAATAGACTTCATCCAGATGGCCATAGGAAAATTTGGAATCCCAGCTCTGACTGGAAACTCAATATGATTGGATTTGGTTATCAAAATTAGAAAGTGTCCAGAGGAGGGCAACAAAAATGATCCAGGGTTTGGAAATACTTCCCTATGGGGAGAGACTGAGAGAGCTGGTCATGTTCAGTCATGTCCTACACTCTGTCATCAGCAAGAAGAGATCTTGTCCTTCCACTTTGTGACAGCTTTTGAGGTACTTATAGAGAGATATCATGTCCCCCCTCGGTCTTCATAACACTGACCTTACATGAGCCACTCAATATAACCCATTTTCTAGAATTATTATGAGGATTGCAACTAGTAATGCACATGAAGTGCTTTCAACACATCATAAACCAGTCAAAATTTCCACTTGGATCAGTTTCCTGACATGTGTCTCACAGAAGCAATCCTTCAGGACATAATGTTCTAGGGTGAGAAAGTTATGTAAGAGTGGTTTGTTGGCAGTTAAGAATGTATTCTGGGAATCAGGGAAGAGTAAGGTTGATAGACCTGGTAGTGTTTTCACTGAGAGCAAGCATACCAGTAAAAAACAGTGAAAGCATACCCTGTTTTCTACATAGCTTCCAATTTTATGTGGAAGTATGTTATAGATTCTGACTCTAGAACAAGTATTGCTACTATCACCAGAAGTAATTGGTGATTATGAAGGCCTTTAAAACAGTATTTTACTCTTGCTGTCAATTGATATTTGCTGTAGTCACTGTTTTTATTGTGTTTTTATCATGTATAATACTGCAACATTTTAATGCGTTTAGTTGTACACTCCCTGAAAGGGTGAGCAATAAATCTTTTAAACAAACAAACAATTGCATGCGTTGATGTGGGCTTTAAATATGTAAACTCTGTTAGTTCAAAAGAAAATGAGTATGTGTCTTGTTTTCTTCAATTACCTACATGCAAAATTAAGCTCAATTTTGTTGGTTTCAATTTTGGTTGATTAAACTGAAATAACAGTTAAAACATGTACTTTGTAAGAAATGAGAATTTAACTAACATTAATTCTTTAAAGCAGCTGGATTTCACCATAACAGGATTCCATTGTAAGTAATACTCATAAAGGTAGTACATTACCAAAAAAGCAGAGATAAGTTTAGTAAAACTATATGGATAGACATAGTGATGAGCAATATGCATACTAAAAGCTTGTGGGCATCATTGTAGTAAGCATGACAAGGTGAAGAGAAGATGTTAGGAGGAGGAACCAGAAACTAATAGCAGCACTCTAATCATCCCTTGGGCTTTGTGTCTAGCCTATAGGTTGCTTTGAAGAAGCAGTGGTGACTGTGGAAGATGACTTTTGACCTGGAAGGAAGAAATAGCAACCATAGCAAAAACTGAGTCAGAAGTGGTGATTAGTGTGGGTGATGGGATACAAAGCAAAATGTAGCAGGACAGTGCTACTTACTATACCTATTTACTTATTTAGAATATTTATATCCCGTCCTACACAATCCAATTGTCCCGGGACGGCTTACAGTATAAATAGCAATAAATGCACAAACAATTAAAAAATCAATATCAAAACAATTCAGTATCAGAACAAAATGCAACTGAGAATATAATAAAACCAGATTAAAGTTATTTAAACCTTCAAATGTTGGGCAAAGAAAACAGTTTTTACTTGGCTGTCAATAGGATACTTAGATGTCAATAGGATACTTAGTTGTCTTGCTATTACGGACTTTGCAGGGAGCAAATTCCTATAAGTAAAAATAGCTAGCATCACACTCAAACTCTTCAGCTAAAGTTAAATAAGAAATGGAAACGAAGAGTTAAAATGGACTTCAAAATATAGCATCACACCAGGCAGGATAAATGAAGATATTTCATCTTTTTTTCCTGGGAACTCAAGGCAGCTTACATTATTCTCTTCTCCACGCTCTCTTTGTGCTGGGTGGTGTTTCAGTCATCTGTAGTTGCTGCTCTTGTTTTATTGTAAAATACCTTAGTTTATTTTAGCTATCTTTCCTAGAAAGATTTTTTAGATTCTTTATGGACGCTAGTTTCCAGGTGCTTAGTTTCTGTGTTGAAAGCAGCTGACCTTGCTCAGCTTGAATAATTACTCTCTTCTTCTTGAAACTCCAAGTCAGACTCCAGTGCCCTGAGTGGGCTGACTGATGGGAGGGGGGTGTCCTCATTTGTTCTAAATGACAAACATTTTTCCTTTTATTCTACTTTGTTTGACTGATAAACATTCCTGGGGGCTTTTTAGAATATATAAGAATTTTTACAGCTGTTTTGCTTTCTCTCTTCCCCCCCCCCCCAACAGTATCTATTTTGGCTGTTTTGATTTGAAACAAAACAGGCAGTAATTACCATGCTGACACAATAAAAGTATTTTTGCTTCCCTCCAGCCTAAATTTAGCACATTTACTATTTATTATTCTATTATTTCATTTTATATAACTTTTCACATCTTTTATCTACTTTTAAATAGATAAAAGTAGTATCTATTTTCCTTTTAAAAGTATCTATTTTCCTTTTAAATAGATAAAAGTGGTTGAGTGTAAAGGAAGGGAAGAGAATGAGATTAGTTGGGGCATAGCCAGTTTGATTAATAAGTTCTTGATGGTTGTATCTTAACTACTCCACGGTTAATGTCTATGTAGTAATGTGATGAATTGGGAGATAGAATTCTTTGCTATATTATATTTACACTTTTATACTTAAATGTTAATTCATTTTATTAAGTGAAATTTAAAGTCCTGTGATAGTTACATTCAGGCCATCAGTTTCGAAGAAGAGAGAGAAAGTAGGAAGGATGCCCATGAAAACAGTCATATTTCATATCTTTAGTATTGTAGTAACATCTCAGTAAAAAAAGTAGCTTTGAAAATGTAGCAGTAATGTTTACTAAGGCACACCTTAACATCCTTGAGGTTCAATTTTATTAACTTTATTTATTTAAAACATATTTATCCTTCCTATATCCAAAATGGATCTCTAGATGGCTTACAGAATAACAAAAACCATAAAAGCATTTGAATAAACTATAATCTTGAATACACACACACACACACACACAGTAAAAAACCAATCAACCATTAAAATACTGGGTGAATAAAAGGGTTTTGGCCTGGCGCTGAAATGAGTAATGTATCAGTGCCAGGCGCACCATGCTGGGAAGCAGTTTCTATGGTTGGGGTGCTTCCCTAAATAGCCACTCTTCTAGGCTCTTTCAGAGAAGGCTTGTGGAGAAGGACCTGAGGGGAAGATTAGATTAAAGTTCAGGGTGGAGTATATGGAAGGAGACATCCCTTCAGATATCCAGGCCCTAAACCATTTATGGCTTTATACATCGAAGTTACCACCTTAAATCAGGCCTGGACTACAATTGGTAGCCCATGAAGAAGGCAAAGGACTGGTGTTATATGATCTTGTCTGTGAGTCCTAGTTAGCATCCTGGCTGCTCTGTTTTGTACCAGTTGAAGTATCCAGACTGATTTCAGGGGAGCCTCATATACAGTGTGTTTCAATAGTGCAAGTAGGAGGTTACCAGGTGTGGATTACCATTGCTAGGCTCTGCCTACCTAGATAAGAATGTTATTGATGGACCAGTCACAGCTGGTGGAAAGTGCTTCTTGCCACAGCAGCCACCTGAAATTCCAAGAATAGATCTGAGTCAAGAAGCACTTCCAAACTACACACTCTGTCCCTTAGGGGGAGTGCAACCCCATCCAAAACAGGGAAATTATCACTTGCCTGGACAGATGATCTGCATATCAACAGTACCTCCATCTTATCTGGATTAAGCCTCAATCTATTGGGCCTGATCCAGTCCAATTCGGAACTGTCACTGCCTCAACTGGATTAGTTGAAAAAGAGAGGTCAACTTCCAGATTACCTGGATGAAAAGAGGTCATCCTTCAGATGATCTCTCCTAGCTGCTTCATGTAGATCTTAAACAGCATGAGGGATAAAATGGAATCCTGCTGCAGTAAACCCTTTCACTCATAGAATAGTAGAGTTGGAAGGGGTCATGAAGGCCATCTGGTCCAACCCCCTGCTGTTGTAGGACACCAGTTTACACCATCCCACTCAAATGGAGTCTGAGGACAGGGGGACACTCTGAAGTGGATTTGGAGGGTGGGTAGGACAAGAGAGGATGGGAGGCTCCATTCCACTGGCAGAAACACAGCTAATATTTCTTTTGCTAAACAATTAAGTGAACATTAAAAACATTACATCAAACAATCTTAGGCTGCAAATTGAAATATGATTTGGGAAACAGTAGGGTTTTCTAGTCATTTCAGAGGACCAACATTACCAGGATAAGATTCAGGATACTGAGACAGCCACAACAGTGCAACTAAACACACTCACAAAAGAGGACTTGCGGAACTCCTTCAGAAAGTAGCAAGAACAATGGGATAAGTGTGTTCAAAGAGAGGGGGAGTATTTTGAGGGGGGTTAACGGGAATGTGTCCTTTACTGTGATAATTTTTTAAATTTAAACATTCATCTTATTTTTGATCATTCCTTGTATATTACCAAAAAAAAATTAAAATAAAATAAAGTGGAAAAAAATTCACTGAATAAGCAAGAGAAGACTTGGGCGCACAACAGATAATGTTTACACTGCCACCACATTTTTTTTCACTTTGCTTGCAGTTTGAACAGAGAAGCATTGTTCGAACTTTGCAGCGATTTTATCTCAGCTCTAGCATTTGAACTCTGGATTGTTCGAAGTTAGTTGTTCGATCTATGAGGCACCACTGTATTTGGTATAAATCTTAATTGATTCACTTCATAATATAGGTTAATATTCAGAATACCTAGTCCTCCCTCTTTTTGTGATTTATACCATCTTTTCTTACTAATTCTTGAGTTTTTATCTCTGTTACAGGATTTATTAATCATATTTTGCTAATCTTCCAACGCTTTCCCTAATGGCCCAATTGGCAATTCTATTAACTTGGGATTCCATTATCTTGATTTTATCTTCTTCCATTATCTTGCTTTTAGGGAGTCAGCCAATTGCATTTTTTCAGTGCTTTCTTAAATGTTCCCATTAGGATTCTTCCTCACCCCCAGACACTGAGTGCATTAACAGAATGTGGTAAACCAGAATTGCTGAGAATACTACCTTATTAGCAAGGAGAGGCTGGCATCTGATCATTCCTATTAACTCCTTCTGAAAGCAGGAATGATTAGAGTGACCAGAAATTTATGAGCAACAGAAATGTCCAAATCTAGATGCTGGTTTGTCACTCCTGAGTTAACAAGCCAGGATTTGGAAGCCAACTGCAAATACTAATTTCAGATCCTGGTTTGTTCAACACAATGGGTTATGTCTGAGTAACCTTGCATACATTTTTATATTGTGAAAATGAAACCTCAAAATAAATTATTGTGTAAATTAAGATAAAATTAAGAGAAATTGCAGTATTTTTAGTAGTAAAATTTTGATGCAACTTTTTGATAGACATTTGACAAAATATATACAATACTCTGACACATAACTTTTTGATTATATTTGTTTTCAGAAAATACATAGTAAGTACAAAGTAGTTAGGCAAACAGAAAAGGTAAGTGAAAATGGATGTTACTATTACTTCATAGCTTTGACCTTGTCAAACATTGATCCATTTAAACCTCTTTGAAATAAAATTCCAAACCATTTCCTTTATTTAATAGCTTGCATTCTTTCCATGACATTTTCCGATATAAATGTTACAACAAAGATGGAACAAAGCAGATGTACATTCAACATAGACCTTCACTGCATAGTAGTAAAAGCTGTACATTTCACACCATTAAGCCAAAACAGGACAATGAGGAGAAAATACATGCATCTGGGATCCAAGTAAGTATACTATTTACATATGAATGGACAAATTATGAAGTAGCAGAATTGGCACTTCTCATATGGCAGCAAAATTCATTGACCTGGCTCTTACAGCCTGGTAATCTGTCATGGGTAACCATTCTTGGTGGATTGTCATTGTTTGATCCTGTGGTTTTCGAACAACCCATCATGAAAAATCATGGGAAGTTCTAGGTATATTTTAACCCATAATGATTGTTGTGTCACAAGATCCTGGGCAATTGATTCCACCTTGGGTTGAAGGAAGTGGTAAGTAAAGTACTCAGCAAGCGTGGCCAGCCCCTTCCCCTCCCCAAAAGTCCTTTCTGAGCAATTTTGACTGTGCTGTCTCCAGGGACAGCAACTCCAGGTGCCCAAGTGGTACATTGGAGGGGTTGTTACTGCTGGACCACATACTGATTAGTGTGCTTTTCACTCTTCTGAGCACCTAGAGCAGGGGTCCTCAAACTTTTTAAACAGGGAGCCAGTTCACTGTCCCTCAGACTGTTGCGGGAGTGGACTATAGTTTGAAAAAAATATGAACGGATTCCTATGCACACTGCACATTAAAAATAGTTAAAATTAAAATTAATTAAAAATTAAATTTAAAAATAATTTTAAAATGTTTGCTCCACTCCCTTGGGCTGCAGTTGAAGCCCAAGATGACACAGGGAAGAGTTTGTCCATATTCAAGGGATATTAGCTACAACACAACCAAGGCACTAAATATAGTATTTTGTGCAATGGAGCTGATGAGTGTAACTGGCATTTACAAAGAATGAAGCAAAAATACTAAGGATAAATACTGTTAATGCTACTCTTAGTAATTGAAGCAAGTCATCTCAGAACAATTCCCACAATACACAATGGCTGTATTTGGATGCAGAGCTAATGACTACCATATTTGAAGTGCAACCTTGCCAAAACTGGTACTGTCCAGATGAGTTGGACTACAAGTTCCATTGGCCATGCTGGTTGGGCATGGTGGAAATTATAGTCCTCACCACCACCCTGGTTCTGAGGGAGCAGCAATGGGAGCCTGAGGCCGGAGAGGCGAGCACAGGGCGGCTCCAAGGTAAGGGCTTATTTCTGAGGCAAGGGGGGGTGAGGGAAGGGGCCACAGCTGGCTGAGCGGGATGTCTCCTGCCTCTCTCCACTGCAGGGGGAAGAAGCATGGCAGCTGCTTGACAATGGAGGCTTGCCCATTGAACGCTGTGGCTCCTGCGCCTCCGCCGCAGCCTTCTCTGGGCAACCGCTGCTGCCTTGCCGAGCCCGGGGACAGCTGCTCGATGGGAGCCATGGCAGCTTGGCCCACAGCCTGGGGATGTGGCTCACATACTTAAAAATGGATGTAAAAAGTTATATTTTTCTTACCTTCAATCCTTTTTTAGTGTCTTTGTCTCTCTCCCTCTCTTCCGCCCTCCTCTCTTCTTTTTTCCCACTCCGTATTCCCACTCTGTATATGCATGCAGTGGGTTGGGGGGAGCCAGTGCACACACAGTTGAGCTGTTACAATTTGGCATGTGTGCTGCCTCTCTGCTTAGTTTCAAAGCATGCCTGCACCGGCTCAGAGCTTTTGGACTCGCTCGGAGATTGTTTTTTCCGAGCGAGTCCAAAAGCTCTGAGGCGGGCTAGATAAATGAGCATGGCAGGCTGGATCCAGCCCATGGGCCGTAGCTTGAGGACCTAGAGTCTCAAGAATTTTGGGAAGAGTGGGACCTATGTGTGTGTGAGGGGGATTCAAATCCCTGAGGACCTCACTGAAAAGGGATGGAGAAAGTGAAGAATGATCTTAGTGAACAAAGACCATTTGTAGCTTTGCTTGGTAGCTAACCTTTGATTGCAATCACATCAAAGTACAAAGGGGGAAAAAACCTATCTGGAGCCTCTCTAGGTCAGTGTTGGACATTATTTCCAAAGTAGGTTACCGTGATGTTTGACCCTACCCATTCTATGAAAAATAATTAAAAGTAAAAAGAACATAAATTTGTGTAAGGTATTTAATACCCTGTTTTGTAAGTCACCAAGTGAAGGTTTTTCAGTGTTGATATAATGAAATAGTATCTGGTTCAGAGAGTTTAATGGCAGAAAATTAACCACACTCTTATTATAAGATATTATACCACATATGGATTATGTCCTCATGGAGAGCAAAGCTAAGAATATTTTAAAGTTGGATGATAAATATGTTTGGTAGAGGGTCTACCTGCTAGCTTATCAGGGTTCGTGTTCAAGAAAGTGTAAGGCCCTTCTTTCAATTTCTGCCTAACTGGCTAGTGCAACCAAAAGTTCAAGTTTTTGTATTTTGAGCATCTATCTAGGGGGCATGTGGATTCCAAATCTGCCCTCTGAATTTGTAGGATTTCAGGGGCCCTGCATGTATAGATATTTAGGGATGTTTTATGCTTTCCCATGCATATTTTCTTTCTGTGCATGTTGATCAAGATGGAGCAAAGTACAGTGCTTTGTGGAAGCTGGAGCTCTCTTTCCTTCCACCTGTCTGTTCCTACTGATCTACAACTCTCAGCAAGCTTGGGGTGTGTGGAAGAAGCACAAAGTCCAGCATATTTGTTAAATGCTTCATTAAATACATTTTTCTAGATTTTTTACTATAATATTACAGATAAAATCATGATAGAATCAACCATGTAACACATATGTACCAACATATGAGAAAGTGCAGTATCAGATATGAGAGGTACAACCATATTACAGAGATTAAGATAAAAAACACCAAAATGCTGCAATATTTAAGAAGACTTAAAGGGCACTGTCATAGGTATGTAAAAAAATCTGTATAGGATTTGAAATAGCCATGAAAACAGGTTATTTCTTAATCTGGTACTGAAAAGACAGTGTGAGTGTGAAGCATGCTACCCTCTGAGAGGGTCCCAGAGCAGTAGGCCCATCACTGGGGGGGAAAAATCCCTTCTCTATTGGTTGATAATTAAGGAAGAGAAGAAGCATGGTGAGAGCAGTGTAGTTTCTCATTTACAGGACTGGTGGCAATGTGCCCACAGCCACATCTTTTGTGTGTCTGCATGGTCATTCAGGCACTAGGGCTGTCAGCCAGAAGTAGGGAAGAAGGAAGGGAGCAGTGTAGCATGATTTACATTTTACGAATAGCCCACAGTTTTTTTTTAATGCAGGTTATCATAAGTGAGGCAATGTACTAATATGCACAGCCTAATATCTCTCTTTATACGTTGGAGTGGATGAACTAAACATGGCTCTTCCATCTGTGCTTTGTTTAGCATGATGTGTGAACTAGGAATTTTAGCCCGACTATTTCTCAGAGAAGGCTGTCATAAGCCTCTTCCAGGAAAAATGAGGTGGCCTTATCCACAATGTTAAAAAATGATAGGTTATGATCACATGAGAAATTTGGGGACTATGTTTTCACCTCTGTATTTCTATTTAAATTAGAGCATTCCCTCAGGAATTCAAAAAGCTAGGAAGCATTTATTCTTTTGCCTTTTCTCTTTCTCTCTCCCCCCACCCCCACCCCATCCCCCTCCCCCTTTACTTGGTCTACTTTGGCTTTTATTTCTTTCTGAAGAATCAAACTTTTTGGGAAAGTATAGTTCCTTGAAAAGAAGATTTATAAATAGAGAAAATGTAAATTTGAACTAACAGATGGAATCATACAAAGTGGAGCTCTAAAAACATAGTCAAGCATTTTTGTATTTCCCCAAGTCTTCATTTGTATTTTTATTATTATTTAGTTGATACAAAATAATACTAGTGGTCTGTTTGGAGAAACTAGTGAGATTAATTTCAGCACTGATGTGTCTAAATTACATCCAAAAATAAGAGCAAATTTTATTAAAGCAATTTGGTGGCAATCTGTGTCAGATTGAATGTAACAGAATAAAAAGCTTTGTTCATCACAAGGAATTGCCATCATATATTTTAAATTGGTGTGAAATGCCTTAAGTTTGTGTGGGCAACATCTGCTACCATTTCCAGTGATGGCAGCCTGTGGCTCCAATATGTAAGTATTATAGCCTGAATATGCAATTGAGAAAAATGCTTCTACAAAACTCCTTTAGGAATTTAGCTGCCCTTTTTTCTGCAATATCTTTCCATAACCATTATGTCTCTGAGGACAGTTTCCCCTGATTATAAGTTTCTCTAGTAATATAACACAACTACTCTCTATTAATTGGCATAAGCTGAACCACCAATCACCTAATATCAGGCTCAACAGAAATTAACAGTGGAAACAAGCCTCACCCAGCTTTACGATCATAGAGTTCAAAACTAAATGTCAGGGAGAAAAGGAAAGTAATTTGAAGAAAAAACAATGAAAAGTCAGGGAATATTATAATTTACCTAACTATGGAATTGTATACATATACTGTAAATAAAAACTAATCAATTCTATATCCTCTGGCCATCATTTCTTTGTCCAGTAAGTACATTAAACCATCAAAATGATTCCTGTTTAAACACTTGATCTCTTTTTTGTTTTCTAACCTTCAGTGAAGCATCCATTTTGGGGAGCAATTGAAGTGAAAATTTGGCTCTGCATTTGGAACATTCTCAGTGGATTACAATTTTATTTTAATATCTTTAATATCTAATAATCTTAGGTACCTTACAAATAACAATGGTTTAGGCACATCCCAAATAGAATGTGCATGCTTGGTGATTCCACTTAATAAATACATTCAATGGTTTCAGTGGCTGGGTGCTACCATACTCTGGAGTCATAAAATTAGCACACAAATCCTTATGACCATAGAAAGTGAATGTGAAAGTGACCATAGTTTGTGTAGAAAGTGAATACAAGCTGAATTGCTGCAAATATCCATACAATATTTAAAAGCTTGTTTTTCTCAGAACAGGGATAAAATGAAGAATTAGTATAATTTTATTGCATCATTAAATGAAGAGCTGCACAGTTAGTAAAGCTCTACAGTAAAGTAGGTGCTACTAATGGAAGAATTTGGTGTGTATTGCTGTAGCAAAAACACTAAGGAATGAAATGCTTGTTTTAACAGGCTATAGATGTGAAAGATCTTAAGGACCTTCATTTCTATTTGAGAAGCTTAAAACAGCCCATTCTTTCAACTATACTCAGATTGGAAGAAAAGAAAAGAATTAAAGAAAATAAATCAAGAAAGTCTTCAAGGAAGGGTTAGTAATTTAACAAGTTGTGGTATAGCTACTCATGTTCATGCAGACTTGCAGACATTCTTGTTCTTTGATATCTAATGATTGCATTTGTATTCATCCACTCTGAACAAAAATGTATTCCCTTGACTTCATTGTGTTCATTTTATATAAAATTTAAATGTTACAGACATGTTTTTGCAATCTGAGAACAACTGTAGGCACGTGTGAGATGAAAAGTAGTGTCATTTGAATTATAAAAAATTACAGAATGGTAAGTTTTGAGTCCTCATTCTCCAAAGCTCAGCGGGGAGATATTGTAAGCATGTGGATACATTTTGATCATAAAACAACACAGACCTTAGCAAAGTTAAGCTTGATAAATGAGATTGAAAACATTTATTAGGTTCTCTAAGTATAATCAATACTTCTGGCCCAAATTTTGGGAGTTTCCTCATGTTTCTCATTTCAAGTATACTTTGCATATCCCTGTACAAGGCATGGTGCTGGCCAAATATTTGCAAAGTGGCAAGCATATACTGTTTTCATAAAACATTTTACTAGTTACAGGACTGACTGAGGAGCACATGATACTTCACCTATAACCTAACTGCAATGTCTAAGAGTAAAATATGTCCAATGTATAAATGGTAACTATGATTACAGCATGTCATCCTGGAGCTCTTTTAATATTCTTCCAGCTTCTTGATCACAAATACAATTTTATTATTTTTTAATTAGATTTGTTTGGAGGCAGTCCATTAACAGAAATGTATTCTTTGGTTACAATTGTTCTCCATTTGTTGTTTCTTTGAAAGCAACTACTGATAAAAGTAAGCAAATTGCATAATTCATGGAAACAAAACAAATATTAATATTATAAGTGATAGGAATACATATTTAAGACATGTAAGGGTGTAAAGTGAGTTAGGGTGTACTCTGAGCCATTACAGAAAACTCCATGGCAATTCCTATTCTAACCCTGGCGAGAAGAAAAAGCTGTGTGGGGAAGAGGGAGGAGGCCAGGATCCATCTCCCACTTTCACCCCCCGTCCAAGGGTCATCCATGTTCACCCACCCTCTGAAACGCTGATTCCTAAGGGGCCTCTGGAACTTGCCCCCCCAGTCCAGACCTGCACCTCCTCCTGGAGTCTTTCTGTGGTTCTCCAGTCCCCCACCAAGAGGCTGTTTGAAGCCATGGCTATATCAGATCTCCATCTCCTTTCCTGGAAGACTGTGTTCCTGGTAATCATCATGTCCACCCACCGTGCCGCTAGCTGATTGTTTGATCATATGCTACAAAGGCAGAAAAGCAGGGGAACCTGTGTCAAGCTACAGGCTATCAAAATGGGTCTCCAGCACCATTTCCTTGGCCTACGAAATGGCTAAGATTCCTCTTTCTGCACACCCTTGTGCCCACTCTACATGCACACAGACCACATCTACTCCCTCCTAGCTGACATCCCACTGCATTAGGTCTACAGAGCTGCAACACAGTCTGCACCCCTGACCTTTGTTTGCCGCTACCTGCTAGACATCCGTGCCAGCCAGGACTGCACGTTCGGCAGGGCGGTGCTTTCCTCATTTCTTCAGTGACGAGAGCCCCCTCCTCCTGGATGGCAAGCTTGCTAGTTGCCTATATGCATGTGATGCACAGAGACCACAAAGAAGAAAGGCAGGTTGCTCACCTGTAACTGTCATTCTCTGACTGGTATTTTGTGCATTCACGCAACCCGGTCCCCGCCCCACTGGCTGTCATCAGCCCAACGCACTGTGTTACCCTTTGGGTGAGGTGCAGTCACCTATGCCTCTGGCTCCCTCACACGCCTGGGACGACACGGTCTTCAAGGCAACTGAGCAACTGGGCAGGAGCTCCCCCTTCTTATCCTGCCCTTGATGGGGGCGGGACAGGGCTCCTGCCCACTCTGTGACACCAAGCTGTGCAAGTTTTCTCTGATTCAGGCCTTGCACTCTGCCGCAAAGGCCATATGTGTGAGAACGCACAGATGACCACTCCAAGAACAACAGTTACAGTTATGCAACCTGCCTTTGCAACACTTTGAGCATCGCTTTATTTACACGGAAAGTCAGTGCCAGGGTCCTATGGTTGCTCCACTCTTTTGCATCTCCTTTTTAGTGATTTCAGTGTGTATGAACATTTCCAGTCTGTGGTCATTGTTTTGTTTCCAATATTTGTTGACATTTTCTTGTTTGGATTTGGACTGATTCAGTCTCAGAAGCTTGGATTAGTTCCAGTGTTACTCTCTCCTCTCTGGGTGTTTATTCCTTCCTTTGAAGTGCTTTCAGAGCAGCTTTCACGTCACTTTCTAATATAGTAGGCTGAGTGTTTCTTCAGCCATCCATCTAGGCTTTTTCTTTCTTTTTGTTACAGGAATTGTCTTTTGACTTTCTTCCCTATTAATAGCTCTGGTTTAAATCTACAGCTCTTCTAGCTCATGGTCAGTGGACTTCAAATCCCTCAGGGATGTTTTTAAAGTCATATTTTGGCAAAATCTTTTTGTTAGTCCTCTTTTTTATAGCTTGACTCTAATTTTTGATATTAAGAGTTCTGGTCACTAATATAATCTGTTTTTGTCCTATATTGACACTGAGAATACAGAGTCTCCATCTTCTGCTTCCAATTCCCATAGTCTATTTGATTTCTGTATTGACCATCTGGTGATGCCCATGTATACAATCATCTGGTCAGTTGCATTAAGTATGTATTTGTAATAGGCAGATTGCTGGCACTAGGGAATTCTGTGAGTTGTTTCCCAGTGTCATTTCTTATCCCAGACCATTTTTCCCTACAAAAATTCATTTTGCTTTGTTTCCAACTTTTGTATTCCAGTTACCTAGTATCATCAGAATATCTTGTCTTGATGTCTTCAGCATCTGTTATTGGAACATAGACTTGAGTTATGATTATTATGTTTTCCACAAATTCTGACTGATATTATTTGGTCAGATTTTGTATTATGGTCTCATACTACCTGAGCTACATATTGCTTTAAAATTAAAGTAATTCTAGTTCTCCTGAGTTTATCATTTCTGGCGTAAAACAGACTGACTGACTGAAACCATCCTATTCCAGTTCATTTTAATTCACTCACACAAAGTACTCCAATGTTTATATCTTGTCTCACTGTTTCCAGTTTGCCTTGGTTCATACTACTCAAGTCTCATGTTTCAGTTCTATATGTTTTGCAGCATTGGACTTTTCTTTTACCTCTGTGCATGCTAGCCACTCAACTTCCTTTTGGTTTTGATCTAGTGGCAGCATTATTTGTTCTTGTGCCCTGCTCTTCCCCAGTAGCTCATTAAGTGCCTTCCAACACAGGTACTTCTGGTGCTATCATCTTCTGGTGCTATTTCTTGTTTCATTTTGACCTGTTACATATAGCAGTTTCAAGGTAAGAAGATGCGGAAGTGGTTTATCATTGTCTTCTTCTGTGCAGTACTAACCAGAGTTAACTTGAGCATAAGTGCCATTGTTACCATTTGGTATACACTGTGAAGACTCTCTCTATATATATAATTTTGAGCCAAAATTTATATATATAGGCTCAAAAATTTAGTAAAATAACCAAACTAGCACTTGTTGATTGCATAAGTATTTGCCCCATTTGCTGTGACATGTCTAAATAAACTTTGGTGCAACCTACCACCTCCAGAAATCACATTAGATAAATAGTGGAATGGAGTCACCTGTGTCCAATTTCAGTTCCAAATGATCCCAGTTATACCTGCTTCTGGAAGTCCTAGAGTTTGTTGGAGAGCATATCTAAATGCAAAAAAAAAATGTGGAAAAATTAAAGTAGGAGAAGTATATACTTACTCAGTGAGTTCTGAGCAACCTTTGTTAACTTACCTCTCTGTAGTCTCTTCTGCTTCTTTGGGACACATGGGGTCTGGAACAGCCACTGAAAATAGGGCAACTGTGTTGTATATTCCAAGTGCAGCAGATGGCATATGGAGTAAGTACTGAAGCCTCTTTCCCAGAAGCAGCCAAGTAACTAGCATGAAGATTTTCAATTAGTTCAAAGCTGTGGAAACGATTGTCAAACACTTTAAAAAAGAGTTGTGAGTCTAGCTAAAGTTAGCTGTGATTAAACCTTTCTGAAAACAATGCAGCTTGAAATAGTTACAGCTAACTTGCTCCATTGGTTTCAGTGGGACTTTGTCAGAACTGAGTTTTGTTGGGGCCAGGAACATTCTATATGAAGTTAATGATAGTCAAAGAATAAATAAGGTTGGTCAGTGTTGAATCAGCAATTCTGGGGTATTTTAACTCTGAGTTATAGGCAATTTCAGGTTTTCAAGGCTTATTTTGGCTAGTAGTTTAATTCATTGAATATACCACCTTCCCAAACTCAGTTGGGAAGTCAATTTCAAGTCAGTTGAAATAAATTGCTATTAAGTTATATAGCCTTGTGGATGGGATGCAATCATTTATACCTGGGGTGGCTGATATGACTTCCCAAATTGTTTTTGGACTACAACTCTTAAAACTCTAGTCTGGGAAGTTAGGAGCCATAGATGAACAACATCGCAGGTTTCTGTCTGTGGTTTATATGCTGATGCTAAACTATGTTACATTATAACTTTTAATACTAAATATGTTAGCATTTGAGAACTGGTAATGTAACAATCAAACTGTTTTATGTTAGATCTCTTGGAATGGAAAAAGACTGAAAAGAAAGAAGATACTATGGCAGCTAAATTTAGACTTTCAATACATAGGACACCATTTTATTCATTGACTGAAGATTTGCAACAATATCATGAGAAAGAAAAATATTTTTTTGATGCTGTTCAGGACTTGCGTTATATCACACATTCTATACCACAAACTATGCCTATACATGAACCAGGTAGCATTGAGAAAAAGGTCTTTGCTAAAGCATTTGGAAGTATAAGACTTCGTCCTCTGTGTAGCATTGATAAAACGTATTGGGAAAGTCAGAGACTGGATGGTCAGCTTAAAAAGGAGCGTGAAGTTATGCGGATGCTGATCGAGAAAAGTGATGCTCATGACTATATTGATCGTTTACGTGAAGAAAAAATAGAGAAGCTTCAGAAAAAATATGAAGAAGAAAAGCTGAAGATTCGTGATATCTTGAAAGACAGCAAACATGAACAATCAAAGTTAATTAACAAAATGAGAGAAAAATATTCTCGTTATTTAGACAACAAGGAAAGAAAGGTATTGGAAAATGCATTTGTTCAGCGCTTCAGCACTCAGCATACTTCTTTGACAAGAGGTTTATTAAGGCTTGATGGGTGGAGAAACTGCAGAGAAGCCGTAAGTGAAAAGAAATATAGGAATAAAGGAATTGTAGAAGAGCAGAAGCAGCGTAAAGAAGTGTATCAGCACTTTCATGAGGAGAGGTATGTACAGCTTTTAACACTGTACAATTAGTTTGTTTTTAGTTTGGTTTGTTAATAGAAATAGATGTCTGTGTTTAAAATATTTATAGCCAATTTTTCTGTCTTGTGTATGAGTTGTGTAAGATGCTTAGCATTGTGTGTGTGTAGACCAGAAGCAAGGGACACACAAATAATTTTTATAATTTTTTGTGATCTCCCCCTGACTTTGTTCAGAGCAATGGCTCCTGTTTCCTGATTTTCTAAAATTTTCTTTTTCAGTACAAGTAAGAACCTAGAACTGAAATGATGTCTGACCAGAAATGTAAGCTACTTATGTTTGTAGCACTCTTTGGGCAAATTAATAAATTTTGCATCACCTAGGATTCTCTGAACATCATCTCACTGCTCATCTCATGCCTGATTGCCATTCAGGATTGCTGCTTTTATGCAAATTGGAGACTTCTGCAAATAGAGCAATGACAGGACAGGAGATCTGAACATATTTCCATAGAGGAAATGTTCCTTTTATATCCCAACTTTTGGCCACTGGCAGTGAGGGAAGGGATTGTATAACTCCTACAGAAGTATAATCCTCATTATATTATGTCTCCTTCCTAAATATAACTTACTAAGTTTTAGTGGAAGATGTAGTCTGAAGATGTGCCATCCTTATTAAAGCACAGTATGACATGAGAGCTGTTCCCACTCTCCAGAGTGACCTAGGGAAGGACTCGTGTTGTTCTTTGGTGCCACCTGCTTGATTTGGGCCTTTTTCCAAGCCCAGTATGATATGAGAAACCATACCCAAATTTCTTGTCACATACAGAGGAAAGAATCAGTGGTAACCAAAGCTGAGTCAAGCCTATATTTGTGAAGCTTTATGTGTATATCTGATGTGGTGGTTTATGTGTCTGTATTTTAACTATTCATTCAGGTAAGCATTGTCTTCAGTAATTGATAGTGGGCTTTCCCAACATTTGGTACCTGAGATCATTGTATCTGGAATGTCAACTTTTGAACCAGGGTATTATGCATGCAAAGCATGTCATCTGTTGCTGGGCTTGACCCCTTTACAACTGATAAGCCAAATATTGTTTTATGGCATTTTGGAAGGCATGTGTCTGAGATAGGGAGAGAGAAATACATTTGTATATGCACACAATTTCGCAGGCATAAGTTTTGGATTAATTTAGTTTCTAGTGTAGCAAACTGACACTTCCCAACCTTCACTGTAGGATCCCCTCACAGTTCTTCTCTGAGAGGAAGGGAGTGGTGGTCAAGAAGTCTTTGGGGTACTGTATCCAACAGTGTATGGAAAAGTTGATAGGGTTTAGCCTCAGCTTAACTGAGTTCTCAGTTGCAGTGCCTTTACCTTCTCCTATTAAAATCAAAGAAAACCATTCTTATTCTGACGAGTGCTTTGGTTATAATGCAAAGTTGTGCACATGGTATAATTAAATAAAATAGTAAAGTCATGAGGCATACCTCCTTTTACTGCGCTTTGCTTTATTGTGCTTCGCAGATGATTATGTTTTTTACAAATTAAAGGTTTGGAAGAATCCTGTATCGAGCGAGTCTATCAGCGCCATCTTTTTCAATAGCATTCGTAAAAGACCCTCCTCAGATGGGAATTCCTCCTTTCTTCTCTGTCTAGGTAAGGGATGTGGTGGAGGCCTGTGCTACATGCCAGGCTTTCACCAAACAGACCTGCAAGCAACAAGCCTGCTGACTAAAAGCTTCCCTCCAGAAGAAGGCTCTCCAGGTGGCTGATTCCTCAAAGGACTTAAGCTGCCTTGTCACTTCCTTGACAAGATAGCCCCTTCCAGAATCATGCCACAGCTGCTCACCAGGTACCCACTCAATAAGGAAGGTCACAAATGACCTAAGAAGTGTGAGCACTACGTAAGTCCCACTAGGCTGGTAACCCCCAGTCCTCTGATTCCAGAAGCCCTGGAGGAACCCTCCATCATGTCATGGGATGAGCCGGGAGAGGACCCGGCAGCATCCCCAGACTTCCACTCCTGCACCTCTGTGTGCTCCTGAGGACTGATGCTGCCCTTTTTGCCTCTGCAATTATCAACACCCGAAGCAGCCGCAGGATTCCCTCTGCTGGTCAAGGACCAGCATAGCAGCCCTAGTAGTTGCAGGATTACTACCCCAAACACTCTGCCAGGGCTTTCATGAGCTCCACCTGGGAGTCCTGAGAAAGCTATAAGAACTGGCTCTTCCCTCCAGAAGCTGCCTTGGCAATCAATGAGTTGATGAAGTGTTCCTTGTTTGTGGGACTCTTGGGCTTTTTGTTCCGGGACCCTGTCTGGTTTCCTGGCTCTTGCTTACACCTTCTCCTGCTCCAGTCCTTAGGCACCTGTTCCCCTTGGCATTGACTCCTTGGTTTCCAGACTCCTAGCTTGTTTGACCACACTTACATCTTAGACTAACTCTGTCTTGTTCTTCTACTACTGACTCTGACCACTGGACTGTTCCCCAGTGGCTCAGTACCGGGAGGGTTAACATGACATTGACCACAGTTGCTGATATTGAGTGTGCCACCACCTTTCCAATGTTCCACCATCCATCAGTCACCACTTTTCAATGGCCAGATGTGAGAGCTGAGAAGGACCCTTGGTACTCAGCCAGCATGGACCCTTGATATCAAGCTGGCAACATCTCTTGGTACTGAGCTGACACGAGTCACCACTGATCTCCAGTGCCATTGCTGTCCAGGCACCAATCCCTTCAAAGTTCATCACTACCAGCCCAGAGGATTATGAGTCAGATGCAGCATTGGTGGTCTCCCTGCTACTCTCAAAGCTCTCCTGGACACTGCAGTTTTTGACCTGTGTTCCCCTCAAAGGAGAGGTGATTCACAGAGGAAGGTGCTTTAGATGGCTGAGGACCTGGGGTTTAAAACAACTGTATGACACCCTGGACTCCAGGTCAGAGACAGGTGGAGCAAAAGCCCTGGGAGACACCAAGGATTAAAGGTTTTTGTTTTAGTTTTAGATCCAATCTACTTTTACCTGTCTTATCTCTATTCTCTTTCTCCATTCTGAAAGAGGATATTTTGCTGTTCTCTTTTATTTTACTCTGACAGCTGTGAGTTTGGGATACTGGCCAAGTCCAGATAAGATTATTCTGTTAGCTTGAATTCCTGCCTGGAACAGTATATGTGAATGCTGAGATTTTATTTCAATGCTACAACACTCAGAGTGATGGAAGGAGGGGAAAGCAAGAAGAGAACTAGAAATAATTCTGACTACCCTCCATAAGACCTCAAAACAACTGCATGTGGATGACTGGCTGAACACTGGGGCTGTGGGTGTTTTTTTCCCCTCCCACCGAGAGTGGAGTCAGCCTGCTGGAGCAGGTGGCAGACTCAAACTTCCCTAGCTCCTTGTGAAGCTGCCAGATGAGCAGGAAAAGCCTGCTGAAGGCAGTGAGTGGGGAGAGCTTTCTCTTAGTCAGGAGCTCATTTGGAATATCAGCTCCCCAAAACCCTTAACAGAAGAGAGTAATGGAACAATTTCAAGATCAAAGTTATGTAAACTGATAGAACACTGTTTCCTTATGACAGAGACAGCCATAGCCATATTTGAGGATCTTATTCAACTTGCTATTTATTTTGTTATGCTAGGAGGCTGCTAAGGGAAAAATCAGAAGGTCCTGGGAATGAGTCAGTCACAGCTATTAGATCTGTGCTGGGAAAGGAGGTTATTTTCCTTCCAACACAAAAAGGGGTCCAAATCCTGTTAATGTTTGCCACATGAATGTGAGTACAAGGCCTGCTGGTATGGCTAAGACAGAGGGGAGTCTGTGGTGGAGAAGCAACCAAGTGTCATTAGAAAAATAGCTCAGATTTTGGTAAACACAGATCGCTAGTGAAACAAACAGGACATTTTATATTCTCTTGGCCATCTTCTTTGGCTGGAATCCCAGGAGATTGATCTTGAGTGTAATGAAAGACTTCCAATCTTATATGAAAAATGGAGGTTGGTACTGACATTTTGGCAAACCTCTATGGAAAGAAGCCATCTCCATAACATAAAAGTGCAAGGTGAAGAAGCAAGTGCTGTTATAGAAGCTGCAGCAAGAAGATCTAGCTAATTAATGAAGATGGCTACACTAAGCAACAGATTTTCAATGTAGATAAAACAGCCTTATATTCAAAGAAGATGCCATCTAGGACTTTCATAGCTAGAGAAGTCAATGTCGAGCTTCAAAGGACAGACTAACTCTCTTGTTAAAGGCTGATCATTTACCGTTCTGAAAATCCTAGGGCCCTTAAGAATCATGCTAAATCTACTCTGCCTGTTCTCTATAAATGGAAAAATAAAGTCTGAATGACAGCACATCTGTTTACAGCATGGTCTACTGAATATTTTAAGCCCACTATTAAGACCTACTGCTCAGAAAAAAAATCCTTTCAAAATATTACTGTTCATTGACAATGCACCTGGTCACTCAAGAGCTCTGATGGAGATGTACAATGAGAGTAATGTGGTTTTCATGCCTGCTAACCCAAAACTCATTCTTCAGCCCATGAATCAGGGAGTAATTTTGATTCTTCAAATTTCAAGTCTTATTGTTTAGAAATACATTTCATAAGGCTATAGCCACCATAGATAGTGATTGCTGTGATGTATCTGGACAGAGTAAATGGAAAACCTTCTGGAAAGGATTCCCCATTCTAGATGCTGTTAAGAACATTTGTGATTCATGGGAAGAGTTCAAAACAACATTAACAGGAGTTTGGAAGAAGTTGATTCCAGCCCTCATGGATGTGTTTGAGGGATTCAAAGACTTTGATAGAGGAAGTAACTACAGATGTGGTGAAAAATAGCAAGAGAACTAGAATTAGAAGTGAAGCCTGAAGGTGTGATTGAATTGCTGCAATCTCCTGATAAAACTTGAATGGATAAGAAGTAGCTTCTTATGGATGAGGAAAGAAAGTGGTTTCTTGAAACAGATTCTACTCTGTTGAAGATGGTGTGAAGATCGTTGAAATGACAACGAAGGATTTA